TGCCATTCTGTTATCTTATAGAATCTTGCCCTGTAGCCAAAGTTGAACTAGAACTTACTATGTAGCCCAGGCTGGCTTCGAATTCGAAGCAATCCTCCTGCCTTAGATTCGCAGGTACTGGGATTACAGGACAGACTTCTTACCAGCACTGTCCTCCCCACAAGTTCCTAACCTAGGAGGGCTCAGGCTAGGCTGCAGTCAGCTGCAGGCATCGCTGAAGCCAGGCCCCCTCGCCTCTGCCTAGGGAGGGCTGATTGACTGTACTCCAGCAGGGCGGCCATCACCCCACCCCAAGCCTTCCCATCCCCTGCACTTGGTTGTGCTCCCCCTACCTTCCATCCGCTGTCCCGGCCTTCTCTGTCTATTCCTGGGCTCACCAGTCTCAGCTTAGAGTCCCTTCCTCTGAGAAGCCCTTCTTGAGGTCTACTCCCAGATCCCAGCAGGGCCCACCCCTCCCCAGTGGACCCTCATGACAAATTTATACTTTCCTGTTAGGGTCTCTCCCACAGGTTGAAGGACTCATCTGTCATGATCCCTAAGCTTCAAGAGACTGGGAGCTTGCAGAGGAGGCCAAAACCTGTGACATCTCTAGTTACTGGGCTAGTATGTGGCTCTGGTGGGTGCTCCATGTGGCTATGGATGCGTGACTGGCCTCTAACTCCTCTGTGAGTGGGCTCAGGGTAGCCACAGTGTGTGCTAGCTTTAGAGGACAGTTCGGGAGGGACATCCCCCAAAGGCCAAAGCTCCTGTCACTGTTTAGATCAATCTGGGATCTACAGTGAAGTCTTGATGGGGGTCGAGGACTTGAAGGCCACACATCAATATCTCTGCTTGTTTGGAACTGGAGTCCTGAGTTGTGGTTGCCCTAGCCACAGAGGGGTCCTTTTCTGGAATTTTATGGGCAGAGGTTACACTCCCAACTTCCACAAGAGGGCGCGCTGGGCCTAGACTTGCTCTGAGAATGCAGGTGTCCTGGATTATCACCTGGTCTTCAAGAGCCAAGAAAGGAGTGGCTGAACCAGGCGGCAGGAGGGAGGTGTGGTTAGAGTTCAGGTCCAGGGCTCAAGACCAAAGCTGATTGGGGGAAAACGTTGTTACGCCTCTATTTTTTACATTAAAGGCATTTTATCTATTATTCTAAACCTTCAAGAGCAAAATGAGCTATGAATTTCCGTGATGACATGGGGGAGGGCTAGATGCTGGCAGGAGGCTGCGGAGGGAGGCTGAGAGAGGGGCGCAGGTAAGTCAGCTTTGAAGACATCAGGGCAGAGCATAGCCCTGTGTGTTCCGTGTCTTTTCTGTTCATTCCCTGGATGCAGCTGCTTTGATCCTGGTTCCCAAGACATCTCTCACTTTGTCACCTTGGCACTGTCCCCCTCTGTCTGTCTGCAATATGCCTCTTGGCAATGGTGCCATCAGATTTACTCAGCGGTGTTATTCAAAACAGACTTGGAAGTCTTCCTGGCCTCTACCTTCCTTCCTTCTGTTTTTCTTTGAGGTGGGGCTGGCTTTGGAGAACTTAAGACAGACAGACAGATGAGGGGGGTGGGGAGAGAGAGAGAGAGAGAGAGAGAGAGAGAGAGAGAGAGAGAGAGAGAGAGAGAGAGAGAGAGAGAGACCCCAGTCCACAGCCCCATGCTAAGGGCCCTGCAGCTCATCTGGCAGAAGGAAAGAGCTAGAAGGGACTTGCAGCTTGGTGGCCTTCCAGGATGCCTTGCTCTCCACCCTTCTCCCAGTGCTGACAACTCAATCCAGTTGACAAGACAGGAAGCAGGAGTGCTCAGCAGGCCAGCTGCCAAGAAGGCTACTTTTCCCTCTAGGGAGAAAACAAGGCTGGGGGCAGCCACCCTCAGCCCCCACCCCCACCCTTTCAGGAGTCTCACACTTCCAGCTCAAGTGTTGGGAAGGGAAGCCAGACCCCAGCCTTTGGCCTTGAAGCAAGAGAAACCAATCAAGTAGAAACGGAGCCTGGGGGAGCTTCTGCTGCAAGCAAGGAGGGGACAGATGTCACACCACAAGGACTCAGGGAGGGGTCAGAGAGATCACCATTCCACCACCAAGACGTCCAACTTGGGCTACACTCTGAAAGGATCCTCTAGGTCTAAAGAGAGGGGAGAGGGAGGGAGAGGCAATTTGCATTATATTTACATTCATTTGCATATAACTCTTTTGATGTCCAAAGGCATTGAAATTTCCGGCCCTTCCTTCTTTCTCCCTTTCTTTCCTCTGCCCACTTTAACCTCCAGGCAGCCTCCTATCTCAGCCTCTTCTCGGTGGTTTCTCTCTTGCTAATAGAGGCAGGAGGATTAAGCCTCGGGGAATGTTGCTCACCAGGCCAAAGCTCAAAGCAGGTTTCTAGCAGCTGTGTGGGGAATGGGTGGGGGTGGGGTCTCAATTCGCTCCATCTAACTGAAACAATTATCAAACAAGATCACTAGGAGAGAATAGGATGGTCTAGCTCTCCTTTTTGCTCCATACATTACACACACTCACACACACACACACACACACACACTACACACACACACACACACACACACACACCGATATCAGAATCCTAGGTAGCTATTGGACATCCATAGATATAAACTTCTCTGGCTTCTAGAATACTAAAGCACAGAGAAAAAAACAACGAGATTCCATGTGGGGAAAACTGTAACAGGTCCTAGATGAAGTGGTGAACCAGACCCTGAGCGCACAGGACCATGCAAATATATGCAAATAGAGATATGGGACTCCCTAGAGACTGGAGCAGGCATTTCTCTGGGATGGCAGGTGAGTGCAGTTGTAGATTAAACTTTAGGCACAGGGAAGATGCCAAACAAGGAAGGGATGGGGTGCAGGGAAGGAAGGGACAGGCTGGGAATGTCCTGAGTGAGACTTCCAGGATCACTTGGACTCCAAAAGTCCTTGCTAATCTCTTTCCAAGATCAGAAAGAACAAAAAGAAAGTCCCTTCCTTCTTGCCAGGTGGGTTTGACTCAGACAGGCAGTTTGCCCAGCCCTGAAGACTCACTTATGCCCTCCCTACTCCTTTACTTGGCACTTCTCATGTCTCGTGTGCCCAACATCGTTCCAGGACCTGAAGGCGACAGAACGAAGCCTCCAGTCAGTAAACAAAAACAAAAATCCAAGAAGTGAGCTAAGCAGGGCCCACACCACCCCCCTCCACACGGGCTGCAACAGTTCTAATCATTGTCCAGCACTTTGCATGCAGGATTCTCAAAGCTCAGTCTCAGGTGCAGAGGGTAAAAATAGAGGGGAGAGCATCTCCATTTCCCCAGCACCAGACCACTTCCAACTTCAAAAAGAGGGCGCACTTGAGTCATTTGCTAGAGAAAAGCAGAGCACTGCTTCAGAACAGTTTCTGTTCTTGGTGTTTATGGGCTATGTAACATGGCAAGTTAAACTCCCTAAGCCTCAGTGTTCCCATCTGTGAAATAGAAATCATAGTACTTCAGGGTGTGGTGGCACACACAACTCTAATCCCAGCACCCGGGAGGCAGAGGCAGGTGGATCTCTTAAGTTCAAGGCCAGTGAGTTCCAGGACAGCCAGGGCTACACAGAGAAACCCTGTCTCTAAAAGCCAAAGTGGGGGGGGGGGGATTAAAAAAAGGAAAAGAAAAAGAAATAAAAAAGAAATCATGGTACTACTTACAGGGCTTAATCTACATTTAAGCTCGGGAGGATGACTCAGAACAGGAACGGGCTGGGAATACAGCTCCTCAGAGCTTGCTTTACATGTGGAAACATCTTGATTTTGAACCTGCAGCAATTCAAAATAATAATTAATAATGATAATAATGGCATTAAAGATGCCTTTAAAGTTTTTCAGCACCGTGCCCAGTCAAGAGTGCAAGCACAGTAAACTCAGGGTATCATGAATGGACATCTCAGGAGGAAGGAACATTTTATAAAAAAAGGCCTAGAGGCAGAAAAACCCAGAGGCATCCTGGGAAACGGATGATGGGGGTCCTATCTGAAAAGAAAACGGAAAGTGCGGCTCTGTCCTCCTGCCTGCACTTGGCTTTCTGAGCTAGCTGGATGCTCCCTGACACTAACTGACACCTAAAGGGTAAGAAGTCTTCTTCCAATGCAGAATGCCCTGGAATCGGAGTCCAGGCTCAATCACTGGGGAATTACGGGCTCTGGATAAGTCGCATCCGATCCCTGGAAGGACAACTGTTAGCACTGGCAAATATTCTCCACATCCTTCTCTCATAGCGTGGGGCTGGAGGTGAGAGTGGGTAACAGCGGGGAAAAGGGGCAGTCCTGTCTATCTGGAAAGGGTGAGAAGAAGCTGCTGCAATCTAGATCTTACGCTGACAAGGGCAAGCCACCGGGAACCAGCCCGGTTTGGTCACCTGATTAGCCCTGCTAGATGCCAGTTATTAACACAGGCCCCGTTCTGCAGATGCTTAAATGAGATCAGGGAGGTGAACAGTGTGACCCAAGCCACAGGGGTGGTAAACGGTTAGAAGGGAGGATTGATTGTAAGACCACTCGAGGATTGTAGGCATCTCTTGGCTTCTCCAAACTCTTCCGGGTTCTCCGTAGCACTGCTTACTTTTCTTGAGCCCAACCAGGCAGAAGCCTGGGGTTCCCCAAAAGGGCAAACTACCCCAGGAGTGCGAGGTGTTGTGGGCGTGATGGGGAGGGGCTGCCAGGCGGGGTCTCAACAGACAGGTGTTCCTCAGGGTCGGAACCGCCCCGACAGCACAGCAGCACCTCGACACCCCTCTCCGGGCCCCCAGCTCCATGTATGCAAATCGCTGTTTTGCATGGGCCCAGGGCCAAGCGCGGGGGCCCTGCCACAGGGGGCGTGGCCGAGGCCCCCGCCCCGCGCCGCGTGCTCACCTGGGGAGTGTGCTAAGCCTGGCCGCGGATGCTTCCCCAGCCGGAACAGCGGAGCGCGCGACTGAGGTGGCAGCCGCTCCCGCAGTGGCGGCAGCTGAGGCGGCAGAGGGCGGGAGGAAGGAGACCCTGGCTTCCCCGGGGACCAGGCTGGGGCAGCCGCGAGGGACCTGGGGGGGCGCTGGCTTTGGCCCCGCCTGGGGCAGGATGGTGAACCTGGAGCCCATGCACACAGGTGAGGGGCGGAGGGAATGAGCTCTGACAGGTGTCACTGCGCGTGGGAAGGGACCAAGGACGAGGACACCATTGCAACGTGTGAGGGGCTGTGGGGGACTAACCCCCGGAGGCCAGGAAAGAGGGCGATGTGGATAGCGGGTCCTCCGGGGCGAGAATAGGTAGGTGTGGGGGGTAAAAGAGGCAAGTTTGGAATATGAAACCTTGGAGAACTACGAAGAGGGGCATGAAGTTCCTGAAGCCCCAAGATCTGGGGAATTAGACAGTGCGTGGGACTTGGGTGTGCTGAAGTGCTGGAGTCCCGGGAGGTTGCAGGGGATGGGTGGTTCACTCACTCAGCTTGGGTGTGGACCTGGGAGTGCATACGTGTATCCACATGCTGCGTGTTTGGTGTCCCGGCACCTGTGTGAAATGCAGGCAAAGTGGGCATGGGGGGTGCCTAGGGGAAGTGGTTAGGGCGGAGCAAATCCAAAGGCACACCTGGGGCAGATGCCATGCCGCGGGAACCTTCATTGATGAGGACTTGTGCAAGCATGTGTTTGTGTCAGGAGTGTCTGACTGGCCCCCATGTGTGTTGGGAGAATTGGTGGAGCAAACCCCAAGGAACCTAATGAGTCTTGAAGCACACGTGTTCCAGATGTGTCTGCATGTCTATGCTATGGCTCAGTGCACAGTGGGCCTGTATCCCAGAGGGAATGGTGACAGGCACATCTGAGCCCAATATCCCATGACCTCCTTTCCTGGGGGTTATGAGTCCAGGAAACGGTAAGACCAGGAATGGACAAATGAGAGGTGGGTGTAGAGAGACTAGGACCGACTCTTCACTCTCCGATCCTTCTATCCATAGCTGAGCTAAGGATGCTACTAAGCTAAAGCGTTGGGCTTGGTGATGTGGGTTGAGGTGGGGAGGGCTGATGTCCTGGTTAGATGTCTGGGGTGTTGAATAAGGAACAGAATCAAACTGAAAAAAACTGGACCTGATTTAGCTACTCAAAGGCTAGCACCTTCTCACACACAGTGCAGGGACCAAGGAATTGTCCTTTAGGACTTCAGGGTTGCTGCAGAGACTGTGTTAATTGTTCTAGAAGAGCAGGGAGGTGAGGAGGAGAAGGAGGAAAGAAGAAAGCAGATCTTTTTAAAAGTCTATTTTATATGCACTGGTGATTTGCTTGCCTTCATGCCTGTGTCAGGGTGTCAGATCCCCCTAGAACTGGAACTACAAACAGTTGTGAGCTGCCGTGTGGTTCCTGGGAATTGAACCCAGGTCCTTCAGAAGAGCAACCAGCTCTCTTCACCACTGAGCCATCTCTCCAGCCCACAGAGCAAAACACCTTCTGGAAACAGGTCTTCTCCACACCATTCCTGCAGACAGGTCTCAGTGGGGGCCCAAGGGGTCCATGATGCCTAGTTCCACTATGGCTCCTTCCCAGCAGGGCTAAGTGCAAGGATGGCTGGCGGAGAGATGTTGGCACCCAGTGGCTGGTGCCCCAGGATTTGCCAGGAAAGGACTAGGTGAGGCTGAAGGAGCCATCCAACTGGGTGTCATCCAGTGTCTGGGGAAAGTTTTTAGATCCAAAGCACTACAGTGCAGCTGACAGTAGCTGAGGACAAGGCCTCTGGTAAGCATGTCGTCCCTCATTTCCTATCAGGAAGGCCGGCGTTCACATGGGAATTAGTCTCGTCCAAAGGTGGCTCAGTAGAAAGTGGGGAGTTCTTTAGAACCAAGATCAGGGACTTCCTGGGGGGTTTCCACCTCCCTGTCTACTGGAGGCTTCTGCCTGGGAAGTGGGAGGAGGGAGAACAGCCGGATCCTGGCAGGGTAGCAGCCTGGGAACTGGGTGGACCCGGTAGAGAGCAGAGAGAGGACGAGAAGGCCAAACCCTCACCCATGCTGGTGGTGCCTCTCAAAGCTGCCATGCCGCTCCCCTGCTCTTCACTGCTGTGAGCAGAGTGTGCCGACCCAAGGAGGGGTGCTTCCTTCCTCAGGATGGGGGCATGGCCTGCCTTTCGGTGTGGCACCTGGTTCACCTCTCCAGTTGTCTTGAAGGCCTCCCTGCCAGGCTTTCACCAGCTCCCCGGGGTCATTCGTCTTCCTCCATGTCACTCATGTCTTGGCCCCTCTGACGTGTGCTCACTGGTCAGTGGCATAAGCAAAGGGTCTCTGGCTTTGGAACTGTCTGTGCTGTGCTTGCTTTCTCAGATTATGGTCTTCGTTGTTATTTAAGACAAAGTTGCCGGGCGGTGGTGGCGCACGCCTTTAATCCCAGCGCTCCGGAGACAGAGGCAGGCGGATCTCTGTGAGTTCGAGGCCGGGCTGGACTGACAGCCTCCAAAACTATACAGAGAAACTTTGTCTCGTAAAAAAAAAAAAAAAAAAAAAAAAAAAGACAAAGTCTTGCTATGTAGCTCAGATTTATCTCAAGCTCAAATTAATCCTCCTGCCTCAGCTTCCCCAATTCTTGGATTAATGCCAAGAATGTAGGGCATTTCAGCTGTGTGTGTGGAGGGAGGGATCCCTCCTTTCTTTGCATTGCGTCACCATAGTCTCCTTACCCCGTGGGTCTTTTAGCCTAGGGTTCTCTTTACTTTAGAAACCTGGTGTATGCTAGTCCCACCATAGTAATCCCACCTTCTGCTGTTCCTGGAAGACTGATGCGGCCTCTAGAATAACCAACCCCAGGCCCTTAGGGATGGCTCCTGGGCGGTGTCCTGGAGTAGCATCAGTGTGGAAGGAGGATGATAGCGGTCCACAAACCTGGGCATAGATTTCCTCCTGGGTCCCCATTCAGAGGGCTCCACGACTGTGTGGACCCTTGAATCAGCTCTGTGTTCTTGCTCTGATGGCTTGGGTTTGCCACAGCCTCTGCTCTGTGTTCTTACAGAACTTTCCACGGTGGGGCCTGGAGACTGAGCAAGTTACACAGGAGTTCTCAGACAGAGAGGAGCTTCCTGTACTCAGTCCTAAAGAGCCAGTCAGCTAAGCAGGGACGGAGGTTGCGTGGTCAGCCAGAGCAGTGTCTGGCCTTGCAGGTCTTCTGTCAGCTGGGGGAGGGAGGCCGAGCATCCCAGACCCGTGTTAGATGGAACTCAGGAATGCCATTTGGGCTAAAAGACCTGGCAGAGGGAGGGAGAAGAAAAGTGTCTACACCTGAAGAATTGGATCCTTGGCTGGCCGGGAAGTGGCACTGGAGGGTCCCAGGAAGTCCCCTTGCAGAGGGACCCACAAAAGCAAGTGTTTGAGGAAAGAACCAAGATGCAGGTCTAATCCCCTCCTAGGACAGGAACAGGGACAAGAGGAGAGAGGGGTATGGCTCCCATTTGCTCAGAATAGCCTGTACCCGGGAGGATTCGCAGCCTGCTGCCTGGAGACAGCACTGCCTTGGGCTGCTTTGTCTCCAGAAATCTGCTGGAGGAATTACTTTTGACCAGGCCATAGGAAAGCCAGGCTGTCTTCACTCTATGGCAGTGCTAGATGAGGCAAATTGGGGTCTACATGAGGTATCTGGGCGCTTACACTCAACAGCTGAGCCTCCTCAGGGAAGGGAGGGTGGCAGAGAGCCGACTCAGGCAGACTAAGATAAGAACACAGCCTAGCTGGCCCCACCCCACACCTCTCTCACTCACCCCCGGCAGTGCTGTCCGACAGGTGAAGGGTTACTGCCAGCGTCTCAGGGAGTTTCGGTGTTGGCCCATTTTTAGGCTGAGACCCAAGGGTTCGTCCCACCCATCAGCATCAGCCTCCTACCCAACTAGGACAGGTTCTTAGCATCTGAACATGCTGGGGACTAAGTTGAGAAGGTTTCCAGGTTATCTCACTCTGCCTGCCCCTAAAGAAGCCCCACCCCCTGCCTGGAGAGTCAAGCTATCACTAGGCAGCATGAGGAGCACTGGAAGTCTTTAGAAATAACTTTTAGACACAATTAGGTCTAAGTTTTAAGTTTATTTTAAAGGACAAGTGAGAAGGCTTCTTGGTTTAAAGTGATGGAGGGAATGGGTGTTAGAAGGAAGTTGGGTGATGGGCAGCAAGATAAGGCTCAGCTCAGCTACCTGTTTAATTCATCCTCATGGTTTGGGCATGTATTCCTAGCTACTCCTGGGAGGCTAAATCAGCAAGACCACAAGTTCAAGTTCTCAACGAGCTAAAGTGAGTTCAAGGCTAGCCTGGGCAACATTGAAACCCTGCCTCAAAATAAGGAGAGCTCTGGGGATGTCTCAGTGGAGCAGGAATATGACCATAGTTCTATTTTAAGTAACACGCATACCAAGTTATCTGTTTAAATGTTGATTTGGCAACTCTGGTTAGCATTGTTTTTTCACTGTCTCTCAAGCTTTTCCTGTCCCTACAAGCAGTCTTCCTCTGAAGGTGGAATCTGGAGAATTATAATGGCTTCCTTGGTGAAGGACAGTTAGAGAGGTACAAGACTGAAAGTCACAGGTGTCCTGGGGAATCGGGAAGGGCTAAGGAAGGGACACGACCAGGATTCGAGAGAGGATTGGAACTCCTTATGTTTAAGCCAATGGCATTTAGTAGGCATCCACTTCATTTCCATTCATCATTTCATTTAATCTTTTCCATGCCGCTGGGAGGTGTGTTCATCATCCCTGGTTCTGGGTGAGAAAATTCACATTGTCATTTGTAGCTAGGGTCCCCTGGCTACTTAATGGTGGCATCAGATTACACTCTGGTTTGTCTGCTGCCAACCCCATGCTCTGGGGTCCTGAATCCCACCTCTGCTAAGGCAGGTTCAAAGCCAGCAGAGAGAGACTTTCCCTCTGGTGCCTTCCCAGCAGGCTCTGGTTTGGGGCTTTTCCTCTGCACTGCAGAGGAATCCCTGTGGTAAAGGAAGGGGTACAGATGGATGTTAGGCATTACCCAGCTCCAAGCAGGGACAAAGTGAAGCAGTCACCAGTGAATAGTGGCAGAGCCCCCTGCTAGTTCTGTGCATGCATGCATACACCCTCCGAAAACTTAACATCTACAGCAGGAAAGGCTAAGGTTCAAGGAAAGCCTCCCAGATGCAGCTTGGCTATCTAAGAAGGGCCTACAGAGCTCTCACTGTATAGCAGTGTCCTATAAGCAGTGTCCTCAAAACCTGTGGGACTCCTTATTTCTTCCTCTACTTCTGGTGCTTTTGCTGGAGTCTGCATCTCTGCTTTGCCTGGTACCACAGTCACTTCGTTGCAGAGCTGTAAACATATTTAAGAGCTACACACTAGTGCCATACCAAAAAGAAAGGGGCAGTGCTTTCTCTCTTCTTTTCCTGGGGCAGAGGTCCACTTTTTCTCCTCATCCTGATCATCTCCAGACCTCGGATGTCTACAATGCCAACTGCCTGATTACCTGATGCAAATTAAAGCTGCCTCCTTGACTGGGATTGGCTGAGGAGCCTCATATGCAAATTAACTCACCAAGACTTTATCTGGTTTGTAAGAGTTAAAGTGCTGCCCCAGAGAACAGGGTGCAGTGAGAGGGGGTTGGGTTCATACAATTTGAATAAAATATTGTCTTAAACGGCTGGATTGGGGGGTGGTTTAATAAGGAGAGGAGCTGGGAGAGCAAGTTCAAAGTTGCCTCTCTCTTTCCCTCAGCTGACCAGGGAGGAGGTTTAGGGCCTCTTAGGTGGCGGCAGCTATCTGTTATGGGTAAATGTTTAATTTATTGCAATGGGGCAGAGTGGAGAGGCCACAGCAGCATCACTCCGGGGCTGACATAGGTCCCTGAGCAGATTTGCTTTCTTGGCTGAGCAGTTTGGAGGAATAAGAGAGACAGGAAGGAGCCTCAAAAGATCTCCGAGAAGGGTGGCAAGGAGGTAGTATTCCATTCCCCAGGCAGCACACTGACTTCTGAGAACAGACAGGCAGCAGAATTGGGGACAGACAGGTAAGAGGGACAAACTTCGGTTAAAGTATGCTTACCTTCTAGGGTAGCCTTGTTATATAGAAATGGGGAATGAAAGAGTGTTGTTTGATTTGTAGTTATCATTATTTTATAATTTTTTGAGTTTTCCTCTCTAAGTTCAAGACTGGCCTGGAAGTTCTGGTCCTCTTGACCTAGCCTCCTAAGTACTGGGTTTATAGGCACATGCCGCTACACCTGGATTTCTATGAAATTTTAAGAGGATACATTCCCCCAATTAATTCCAAAAGAAACTAAGGGTGGGGACGAGCAGCCTTATTCTCGTTAAATTTTAGCCACTGTGCCCAGGAGATGGAGGGTGGCGATGGAAGTTGCAGAAGGTGAGAGACCCTGCAGTAACTGTGGAGAAATGGAGGGAAGGTCGGGCCGCGAAGCTGGTCCAGGAGAAGGGGATTTGTACCTCCAAGCTTATGAATATTCTAATGGCTGTGTGTTCGGGAATCAGGAATTTGAAAGTCTGATGGTTGTGGTAATTACACATTCATCTTCGCTGTTTGGTTAAAGCCACATATGTCACAGCAAGAAAAATGGTGACCTGTTATTAAAATCAGCGTTGTTTTCCCTGCAGAGATCAAGATGAGTGGGGATGTTGCAGATTCAACGGATGCCCGCAGTACTTTCAGTCAGGTGGAGTCAGGTAAGGCATTCTCTCCTGGGGATGACTGGTGGGGAGACACTGTCCAGCATGTGGCACCTCTTCTTGTTCAGCATTTCAGACCCCAAAGCTGCATCTTGGACCCTGAGGTCCTTCCCTGGAGATACCAGGGCGTGAGTCTGGGGCCTTGGAATAATAGATATAGACCTTGATAAAACAAGCCTCTGAAACCAGGCCAGGAAGAAGCCAGAGCCTTGGGAACAAAGGACAAAAAGTTATCAGGGAAGAGTCACTCTTGAAGGTGCTGGACATCAAACCCAGGACTTTGCAAGTGCTAGGCAAGTGGCATTTTGTGTGTGTGTGTGTGTGTATTAAATTAAATCCAGAGCTTTACCGTACTAGGCAAATCCTCTACCACTGAGCCATACTCCAGCTCTTTAATTTTATTTTGAGACAAAGTTTTGCTAAATTGCCCAGGCTGGTCTTAAACTTAATATGTAACTCAGGCTGGCCTCAAACTTGAGATCCTCAGCCACCTGGGAAGCTGGTATAAGTAGATGTTTCATAAAGAAAAAGAGACTTTATTTATTTTGTTATTATTTATGTGTGTGTAGTATGCATGCATGGGTGCGCACATGCATGAGTGTTGGTCAGAGGACAACTTTGCAGAATTTCTTTTGCTTTTATGTGGGTCCTGGCGATGGAACTCCGGTCCTGAGGCTTGCACCACAGGCTTCTTTATCCACTGAGGCATCTCACTAGGCTGTGGTTCATGCCTTGATGCGCTGTTACAGCATGGAAACAACAGGCTGTACTGCCAGCTCTGGAGAGAACCTGTCTTTAGTACATGCAGGCCAGGGTCTTCCATCCCTGGTTCGTTTCTGCCTGGTTGTTTTTTTGAGACAGGGTTGTCTTAGAACTACCTCTGTAATTGGCCTTGAATTTACAGAGATTTTCCAGTGTCTCTTTTTGTGTGCTGGGAGCAGCGAAGGCTCCCACCACACCCGGCTTCCAGTCTGAGGTTTTCAACAGAACTAAGCAAATGACGGTTGTGCAAGTGTTGGCCTTCTGAATGGCGTGTGTGTGTAGCTGGTATGGTAGCTCTGAGAGGGACTGGTGCCTAGACATGATTTTGCCTTGTGAAGAAAAGAGAGGAGACAGGAAAGAATTGAGATGTTTCTTTCTTTTCTCTTGTGTTTCCACCATAGCCCAAGCCCTGGTTCGAAAATGCAGTGTAATTAAAAAGAACTTGAAGAAAGATAACTAGAAAGATAACTTTAATCGCCTCCCAACAAGGCCCCAATTAGTGTTTCATCTGGATCATTAGAGACACAGAAGCGAGAAGGGGAAGAGAATCGATGTCCTCTAAAACTAAAATCTTTCAACCGACCTGGAACATTCTAGTTCTTGAAGCTAAATGAGAGACAGGATAGTAGGGGGGAGCATGGGGAGGGGTGTCTTGAGCATATACTTGCTGTAGATTTTCCTGCTCTTCAGTTTAACATAGAAACAGTTTGGGTAGCGTGTGTGTAGAGCCACAGGTTTTTTGTTTGTTTGTTTTTTGTTTTTGTTTTTACGAGACAGGGTTTCTCTGTATTGTTTTGGAGGCTGTTGGTCCAACCTGGCTTCGAACTCACAGAGATCCGCCTGCCTCTGCCTCCCAAGTGCTGGGATTAAAGGCGTGCGCCACCACCGCCCGGCAAGCCACAGTTTTTATGTTCTGCTTTGCACTGAACAGCTGGACTAAAGAGTGTGGGCTGGTTGCACCCATTTCAGGGTGCAGTCCACCCCATCATACTGGCCATGGAAGTTAGGTACTTAAGCTCTGCCACTGAGCTACATTCCTAGCCTTGTTTACTGCTATTATTTATTTTTACACAGTGTTTTGCTAAGTTGTCCCTGAACTTGCTCTGTGGCCCAGGCTGGCCCCCAATTTACAATCCTCCTGTCTCAGCCTCAGCTGGGATTACAGGTCTGCTTCATCAGCAGTCCTGACTTTGGTCAGTTTGTTGGTGTCGTATGTGTTGCTAAGGTTGATGGAGAAGGGTAATAGTTCTTAATTTCCTTCCATCTCAAAGAGCTGAGATGAGCCATGCAGAAGGTTGCTGGGGCTGTACCTGCACTAATGCTCTACCCTGGAGAAAAATGGAGTCCAGAGTAGTGACTGTAGAGAAACTGCCCCACTCCTGGAACCAACTCTGTTCCCCCAGGCTCCACTGGCCAGGCTACAGTTGGGCAGCACTCACATGGGAAAAGACCACCCTTATCAATGGAACTGGGCTTTGCTATTAGTTATCTCGACCTAGTTGGGGATCAGTGAGACACCTGAACCCTAACAATGAGTCAGGAAGGTGAGGCTTCACCCGTAGGAGGAGGCCAGGAAGTCCGTGTGCTGTGTGTTACTTGGGAAATTCTAATCTCCTATATGGGACTGTGGGAATTATGTACTAAGAGAATTAAGGGAGAGGAAATCCGGGGATAAACTAGGACTTTCGGAGTCCATCCTGACATGTTGCCAACCTCGCCTGAGCTTTGCCTCTTGAAGGACAGGGTTTCAGATCAAACAGACCTGGGATAACAAGCTGGCAGGGTTCTGTTTTTCTGTGACCAACACGCAGAGGCTAAGATGAGAGGATGGACAGTTGGAGAGTTCCAGGCCAGCCTGAGCTACATACTGAGTTCCCGCCTCTCCCTCCACCTGCCAGGAAAAAGGCTACAAACAGAGCCACTTACTAGCTGCCGGGTTTGATCATTTCTCCTTTTCACGAAGTGACAAGAGGGAAAGGGATTCTGTCTTAGAGGGCAGGCTGACAGTTAGCTGAGCTCTAAATTCCATCGCCACTGTCTTCTTGTTGTTTTCATTTTGTTTATTCGAGAGAAGGTCTCACTCTGCAGCTCTCTGGCTGTTCTGTGACTGGATGTGTAGACCAGGCTGGCCTGGAACTCACAGAGATCCCCTTGCCACTGTCTGCTGAGTGCCTGATGCCTTGGAGGTCAGAAGAAGGTGTCAGATCCCCTGGAGCTGGAGTTTGGGTACTGGGAAGCAAACCTAGGTCCTCAGTAAGAACACCAATGGCACTTAACCACTGAGCCGTCTCTCCAGTCCCCATCACCGCTGTGATTCTGTAGTCCCGGGCAGTATTGGGAAGGGCCACAGGTGCCTGGGGTTCTCTTTCCCTTTCACCCGAGCAAGTGGTTCAGCTCAGAAGTTGGTTTTGCTCTGCGTACCACTCAAGGAAAGATTTTGTGTGGGCCCACTACTCCTGAGAGATTGTGATGTCTTCCACCTCCCCAGAGCCTTTCCTGCCCTTCCATCTGCCCCTTCAGGGCTTTTCTCAGTGGTAGAATTAACACTTAGGTGATCCTAAATTAAGGGCAAGGAAAAAAAAAAGTAGCTAATTAAAGTAACCAAACTTCCTGGAAAGTCATTTTGACTTTTTTTTTTTTAAGTGTGGAAAGCTTATTACTAGTTACAATGGTTACCAACTTAGTTTAATGGTTTCCTTTGAATTTTTAAAAGACACATTCACCTCCCCAGCAGGGCATGAGTTAATGGGTGGTTTGTCTCTGGGTTTTAAAGGAACTATAAGCAAAGATGACCTAGAAAACCCCTGTATACTGGAGAGCACCCACAGTATTGTGTGAAACCCCTAGGGCATTAGGGCTGGGAGCTTGGGAAAAGGAAATGAATTGTCCAGTTCACTCTGAGTTGGCGGGAAATCCTTGGAGAGCTTTCTCAGCCCTGCCGGGCAATTCATCCTTCCCCTTTTCTGCATAGCCAAGGACAAAATGCTCAGTACCTCAGCTTCTCTCTTTTGCTGGCAACCATGGGAGACTCTGGAACCCGTCTCCATGCCCCCCTCAACTCCCGTCCCACAGTAGGTACTGAAGCCTACCTTCTGCTCTATGGCCAGCAATTTGCTTTTGTTAACTCCTATTACTCTCTCCCTGCTGCTACTTTACCTTTATGCGTTTTATTTATTTTGCAGCACTGGGGTTTGAACGTAGAGTCTCAGGCGTTCTAAGCAAGTACTCTACACCCATACCCCAAGACATGTGTGCACACTTGAAAATGCATGCACATGGAAACCAGAGGACCTCAGCTACTAACCACCTTGTTTTAATATAGGGTCTCTCACTGGTTTGCTTGATTGGCGAGGCTAGCTAGCCAGCAAATCCCTAGGCTCTTCCTGCCTGAACCTCTGTTCCAGCTCTGAGATTACAAGAACATGCTACAATGTTTGATTGTGGCGGTTCCAGGGATCCAATTTAGGTCCCAATGCTTAAGTGGCAAGCCAAAACTGTCGTCTGTTTGTCTATTTGTTTTTGAGGCAACCAGACTGGTCTGAAACTCATGTAGCTCAGCTGACTTGTACTTCAGGCAGGTTCTCTGCCTCAGACTCTTGTCTCCTATTTTCAGCACAATAGTTGAATAAAAATGGAGTCTTGGTCTGGTGTTGGTGGCTCAAGCCTTCAATCCTAGCACTCGGGAGGCAGAGGCAGGCTGATCTCTGTGAGTTCAAGGCCAGTTCTGTAGGAGTGAGTGCCAGGACAGGCTCCAAAGCTACACAGAGAAACCCTGTCTCAACCTCCCCCCTCAAAAAAAAAGTCTTATTGGGAGTTGGAGAGATGGTGCAGTGGTTAAGAGCACTGGCTACTCTTCCAGAGGACTTGGATTCAGTTCCCAGCATCCATATGGTGGTTCACAACCATCTGAAACTCCAGTTCTAGAGGATCTGATGCCCTCTTCTGACTTCTGAGGCCACCAAGCATGTATGTGGTGTGTGCATACACACACACAAAAAAAACATTCACACATAAATTTTATTTAAAAATAATTAAAATATAACCTTATCCATATTTTAAAAGCCCTCAGGCTGTAACTAACAGTTCCTGGCACTAGTGCAGCTGACCTTTGGGCCTTTGACCATGCTGATCACTTGTAGGCTCAAACACAAAAGAGGAAAGGCAAGCCAAGGTTTCAGGATGAAGAAAGGACAGACCCAGTGTGGCATATGCCCCCCCTTGCCTTCCTGGCCACA